AGATATAGATATATAGATATAGATATAGAGATATAGATATAGATATAGATATATCTGCTGATAAGCCTGAGTGGTCTGTTGACTGACCTTTGTATTTGTTCAAATAATTGTTATGGGCAGGTTACAATATAAAAATGTTTGTCATAATCATGTCTTGTGATTATTTGACAGGAGTTTTACTTTTAAACTGTAAGTGTATTTAATTTAGTTATAATGTAAATACGATAAAAATTAAATCAAGATTTATAATAATTATCATTTTGATCCATACATTGGTAATGTCTGACTGGGCCTCGTGTCACCTTATGTTCAATAAATTGGGCCCCGAGGTCAGAAAGGTTAAGAACACCTGTATTACAGGAACAGATCTCTGAAGAAAGAGCAACTAAACTTTGCACAAAAACTAAGTAAATTAGTGTTTGGTAGATTATCTCTTTGTTGTAAGAATATTTCCTGAAAATAAAGTTTGATTGGCAGCAGCTCAAAATAAGAGTCAATAACATCAGAATCAGCTGTTTGACATGTGGACAACCCAGATCCTCAGCTCTGCTGCTCATCCCACAAATTCATGTTCCTTACAAATGTGGCCTCATTGAAAAGGGAAATTAACAGACTTTCCAACCATATCAGATTTATTACCAAGAAGCATTGTTACAACAAAGAAATAATCTACCAAACACACATCTCCTTCATTTTTAAAGCGAGTCCAGCATCGTAGTGTCACTCGACAGATTTTACACTGAGGCAATGATAAAATCAAATCTGATGGATTCAACTCAAGGTTTTGCAAAAACAATTGAATTTTGTGTTTCTTTATTTACAGTGAACTGATGAATTTGTTTGGCTCATTCAAGCAGAAACCTATTTATCACATCAATATATGTCATTTTAATTCCATTTACACAGTTTGTTTAAAGAACAGTTTGTGGAGCTGAAATAATCTGTGTTGTGACACTTCGCACACATGTTGTAGCCTTACCCTTTCTTCAGAAACAGGTGACAGTTAAAACGCTTCACGACGGGTTTCTGAGGCCTCCACTCACAGAGGATTTCACTCGAGGGAGACTTTTTATAGCAGGACAGACTGGGAGTCTCAGGAGGATCTGCAGGGAAAAATAAAAACTGTTAGTTTATAAATAAAGTGATAATGACAACCTTCAGCTGCTTCACTCAAGCTTTTCATTTACATTTATTTAAAATTGGTTCACATTTGATTTACATGGTCTGCAAAACACACGAACATTGAAAAAGAGTTAGTTTGCATGTGTTCCCTGTTCTCTATAGAACCTAAAATACAAAGTAAACACTAGCAGATCGTTTAGTTTCAGACTGAGATCAAAGCCATTTTCATCAAATGTTGAGGATTATTTTATGCACAGATTAACACAGTATCAGGTTCAGATTATATGTTGTGAGTGAGTGACTCTCAGCTACTACCACAGCAAAGTGTAGCTCTGTAAACCTGACTGAGGGAGGCCTGCAGTCCTTTGCATGTTTGCTAAATCAGATTGCCTGTGGCGGCCATCTTGAATCGTCTCCAAACGTTGATCAGTTGTAGATGTACCTCCAGTTATTATCCTCTGAAAGCTTCATTAAAATCAGGATTAAAATCCATCCACTGGTTCATGAGTTATTTTGTTAACAGACAGTCTGCTGGGCTCAGTGTTGTGTGTTGTGTTGTGTGTTGTGTTGTTTTGTGTTGTGTGTTGGGGATTACACTCAAACATGGCACCACTAAGTTATGACTAAATGTTTAAAATTATCCATCTTTTAATAGGTGCTTCCTGGTGTTCATCCAACCAAATCACTTCTTCAAACTCCACCCAGAACAGTCAATCAACAATCTGACCACTCCCATCTTTAACAAACTCCTCCCACAATGTCAAACTCCACCCACAGCCCAAGAACCGCCCACTTAGTGACTTCACAGAGCCCCCCCACACCAACCGTTAAAGTGATATTACTAAATAAATAAACCTTTTATAAGAAAAAATGAACAGATTTATTTTTCAAAGTCAGTTTTTCACCATATGATTCATACATTTATAAATGTCATAGTTTATAAACTAAATATTTAACTTAAATATTTAGGTGGCTAGCTAAATATTTAAG